TCTCTCTCTCTCTCTCTCTCTCTCTCTCTCTCTCTAATAAATAAATAAATAAAATTAAAAAAAAGAAACAAAATTGGGTATAGTTATAATGGGAGGATTTAACATGCATGTGCACTGCAAAATGATCACTGTAAGCCAGTTAACAGATCCATTACCTCACATGGTTCAGATTTCTTAAACTTTTCCTTTTCTTTTGACGTGGTGAAAGCACTGGCCACGGCAAACTTTAAGTGCACAATGCAGTGTTATGAATGATGGTCACTGTGCTGTGTGTTGGGCCTCCAGAGTTTATTCATCTTGAATAACTGAACTTTTGGTCCCCGTCACCATCACTTTCTTCTTCCCCACCTCTGCTCCTTAGTATCCACCCTTGAAATCTGCATCTGCTTCTGAGAGTTTGATCGCTTCAGATTCTATATGTCAGGGAGATCATACATTACCTTTCAGCACTTGGCTTTGTTCACTTAACATAATATTCTCCAAATTTACTCATGCTGTCAAAAGTATCAGGATCTCTTTTTAAAAGCTAATATATTCCATTGTGTGAGTATACACATACATGTCACCTTTTCTGTTCTGTGGACAGGCATTTGGGCTCTCGCTATCTTGGGTACTGTGACTAATACTGTGGTGTTTTCTTTGGGGTGTTCTGATCTTGGCAGCTCCTCCCCAGGGAGCCTAGGCAGTTCATTCTCCCAGCATCTTTCATGTATAGACCTCTGGGAGACTTGGCCATGGAGAGACCTCTGTATTTAGAGGGGACATGGTGTGAGGGTGCGCGCTCGCACACACACACACACACGCACATACTGAAGGACCCTTAACTCATAGACCTTGAATTGGATCCTCTTAGGTTTTTAGGGAAGATAGCTCCCCTGTCACCAAGCTGAGAGCTAGAACTCCCCAGCACCAGCGGGAGGAGGCACTCCCAGACTCTTCACAATATGCCTGGGCTCAGGAAAGTGCCGAGGACAGGACTGTCCTACGTTGCTGAACAAGGCTTGGGGCCCCGCCCTCTACCTCCTCCTCGGTTCATCCCCAGGATACCCAGGAAGGAGGGCCATCTTCAGCAGCACCCCAGATCTTTAAGAACTGGACTCAGGTCAACAATTTCTGACATTGCCAGTCAAGTGGAAGACTCAATACTATTATGGGCTACTGGACTCTTTTAGAATATTTTACTGAGTTTACACACCTATAATATTCAAATAACGCAACTTAACAAAAAAAGGGCATACAGATGAATGTCCATTTTGTATCTGTGTATTCAAAGTGGTTAGGATAGATATATAGTTACATTCTCTTAATGAATAGAGGGATTTGTTCTAATGGTGTTTGTAAATAGGATATCATGTCCTTATCTTGTACAGCAATTAACCACTAGGAAGAATGTATGCAGTGTGTGAATTATTGAAACTGTCCTACCAGTTTGATTTAAAACTGTCTCATTGCTATTTGTTTATCAATAAAATTATGGGAAAAAAAATACAGTGAGTGCCAGGAATGTGGCTCAGAGACATAGCACCTGCCTAGGAAGCACAAAATCCTGAGTTTAATCCTGGTACAAAAAAAATCATTATTTCATGATAAACAAGCTTAAACTAGATTTGAAACTTTAAAGAATATGAAATTTTTGAGTACTGTATGCAATACTTTATTTATCATTTTATTTTATTTTTTGAGACAGAGTCTTGCTATGTAGTTCAGGCAAGCCTTGAACTCGCCTTGTAGCCCAGGCTGGCCTCAGTCTCACAGCAACCCTCCTGCCTCAGCCTCCTGATTGCTTCGATTACAGGCATGTGCCACCAGATCTGTATTTAACTCTTTTAACATTCTGAAAATCTTTAATGCTTTTAAAATTTTATAAAATTTCCATACAATAAAACTTTTATTTGAGTTTAAAAAAAAAACTGGACATACAACACTGGGTGCTTGGGAAAAGCTTACTCTGCACACTGGGGAGACCACTTAACTTTAGCATGCTTCACATACTACAGCACTCTCTACAGAGTTTTGCAAAAGCCAGAGTAGCTGAATTTTTAAAAAGAAATAATTGTTATTCAAATGTAGTCTTACCCCTCTGCACTGTCAGAAAATGTATGTTATTTTCTGAAGTGCTACAGAATCCTGAAGAATTTAGCACTTGGCTTCTTTTCTCCTTTTCTTTGAAATATACCATTACATGATAAGTTTAAATGAATACAAAAGAAAAAGTAGCAATTGTTTTACCAAGGTCCTATTATTTAAGTATTTTTAAAATAATGTTGAAATTTTATCATGATTAACTGTGTTGTGTGTGTGTGTGTGTGCGCGCACACACACACACTTATACAACTGATAGTCTTTGACTTTATTTCAACTTATTACATATAATTAATTATGCATAATCAGTGAATGATAATTACCTACTGTGCTATGCCCATTTTGTGGGCTTATCTCAAAATACTAGTAATCTGGAACTGATTTTTCTCCCTTGTTACACCAGTTTCTGTCATTACTCATTGCATGTTCAGAAGATGCAAATTTTCTTGGATAATAGTAGACAAAGATTAAAAGATTGTTGCCCAATACCTCATGATACATTCTCAAATAATTTTCAGTTCCACTGAGTGAGAGTGGAACATGGCAAAGGAGCGAGGCAGCACCATCTCCTCCTAGGCAGGTTCTCATGCGCGGAAGCAAGGAGTGGCGGGTGGGCAGGGAGAGTCAGAACCCGAGGCCTTGCCCAGGACAGAGATAGGGAGAACCTGAAATTTAGTCCAGGATGGGAGGGAGGGCAAAACTGAGCAAGGAACTGAGGGCCACGATGCTCAGCGAAGAGACAGCGCTCAGCTAGACTGGGGAGGGCGTGTGCAACCTCGACCTGTCATCAGCAGGGAGAGCAGGAAGTGACTGTGGGTATAAATCTGAGCTGTGACTAAATAACACCCAGTCTGTTCATAAGCTGGGTGAACAGCACTAAATTAACCTCTTATGACGACTAAGCCACAGGCACAGATGCATGCTTCTTTAAGCACTATGATCACCAGCAACGCATTCGATTTTTCATTATGAAACTGTATTAGATTAAATGCTTGATCATGTTTCAGATTTGTTATTGCTAATTATTTTTTCTTCCCAGATTTTCCTGCATGGGAACAATTTAAACAGCCTTCACCAACTAATACACCCTGAATTCTTGCCCTCTGAATTTGGAGGGACCCTCCCTCCTTACGACATGGGAACATGGGCTCGGACGTTACTCGGTCCTGACTACAGTGATGAAAATGACTACACTCATACGTCCTACAACGCAATGCACGTGAAACATACCTCCTCCAATCTGGAGAGAGAATGCTCACCCAAGCCAATGAAAAGGTAAGGCCAGCATTAGCAGAACCTCCAAGTCAGAGGGCAGTGGGAGGTTTTGATTTATACCTATTGCAGGTTAAATAACTAAAGACTTCTTGGGCATTAAATTAAATAAAATAAATTGCAATACATTCGTAGCTGATTTCACTAGACTTGAAAGGAAATGGGACTTAGCTGACCCAGAACTATAGTTGTCATGTTATATTACAGAAACAGCTAAAGGCTAAGACCTCACTTGTGTCCCAATTACAGCTCTGGCCTTTTGGGAGCCCACACTTTGAGGTAGCCTTTGAGGTGCACTAAATGGCAAAAGAATGTGCTAGAAAACATCACTATCATTCACTTATTTGGGACCAAATGGATATTTAGGGCTGGCCAAATAGCTCAACAGATTAAAGCAACTGCAAGCAGACTCAGGAGCTGGGGGTTTCATCCCAGGGCCTGCTGTCCTGGTCCCACTCCCAGGGCACACTGAGACTGGCAATTGAGGCTGGGCATGGTGGCACGCACCTGTCATCCCAGTGCTTGGGAGACTGTAAACAGGAGAATCATTACTAGTCTGATCTAGTAGTGAGACCCTGAACACCCTGTAGATCCTTCCCTAAAATACAGAAAAAAAATGCATATTTAGTTGAATGTAGCTCTGATTGTGAAACATGGAAATCAATATAGATAAAACTTGGAAATAACAGAGAGGCACGCCTCTACAGAATCAGGTAAGACTTGGCTGACAATTTTGATAAAATGATTAATGTTCGAGCTGAAGTTTGAAGGAGAAACACTAGTATTTTTAAAAAAGGAACAGATGTTCTGAGCAAAGGGGACAGACAGAGGCCTGGAGGCCTCACAACGACAGGTGTGTGGGAAAGAGGGGTCGGCATTGACAAAGAAGACCCAAGAGGGTTGAGTCCCAGTGGCAGAGGGGGCTCTACCCTATGCACAGGAGAGTGCTGTGGAAGAGGATCAATCACATTTTATTTTTGAAGAGCTAGAGACTGAGCCCAAGGCCTTGTGCATGCTATGCAAAAGCTTTGGCACTAAGCAGTACCTCCAACTGGAGGGTTACTTTTCACATTTTTCTCATTAAAAAAAAAAAAAAAAACAACCTTATTTTTAAGACTAAAATCCCTTTCATCATCTATCCACAATTCCAATCCTAGTGTCTTCCTAGAGGTCAGCATGGTTACCAGTCAGGATGGACCTTTCCATTCTGCTGTTCATTCTTGATGTGAATCTTACACAGCCCTAGGAAATCCCTGCAAGTGGGCCTTACTCTGCTCAGATCGCTGTAAGAAAGTGCTATAGACTTGAGACTTGAGCAACAGAAAATTCTTTTCTTGAAGTTCTGGAAGCTGTGAAGTTCCAGGTCAAATTGTCAGTAGCTTTGTTTCTTTGAAGACTTGCCTTCTCAGTGGCCATCTTCTCCCTGTTTCACATGGTCTTCCTTCTGCCTACATTTGTCTGTGTCCTCCTCTTCATATGATGATGCCAGTTATACCGCAGTAAGGCCAAACAAGAATTTAGACTGAGGACCTGAATCCTCCCTTGCAGCTGGACTCATCTAAAGGAAGCTTGTTGGCCCAGGGAAGGCAGCAGAGCAGCAATCTCGCTGGCCGCAGCCGCTGGCAGGGAAAGCCATGCCCCGCAGTGTTAGGGGTCACAAGCTGCTCTCAGAGGGCTTATTTTACTGTGTCACTTGTTTCTTCTCTTCCTGAGGGAAATGCTTGACCATGGACTTAATGATGTGAGGACATAAAGAACATCTTTCTTCATCTTTCTGAGCAAAAATAGAAAGGAAAACTCTGGGAAATCAGTCTTTGGTCACCTCTGAGTCTGTCACCATAGCCAGGGAGAAGATTCCTCTGATTTTTCAGGACAGGGGTATGCAATCAACCCAGTGGAGTGAAGGGAGAACCATGTACTATCAGGATTACTGAGTGTTTTCAGCATGGTGAACCAGATCCAAAGCGCCTCTCTCATCAATGAGGAATGTCTGACTCCTGTGGGGAAAGAGAGCCTGCGTTCCACTCTCTTGTCCTTAAGCTTCAGCAGGCTTCCTTGGTCATACCATGGTTGACAGTCTCTGTTTGCAGGATGGGCACTGTCTGCACAAATTTATATAAAAATGCATATTCATTTTTTTAAAAAATGTATTTAGTACAGGGTTTCACTATGTAGATTGGACTAGTAGTAATCCTCCTGTTTTCAGCATCCCAAGCACTGGGATTAAAGGCATGTGCCACCATGCCCAGTCTCAGTCACTGTCTCAGTGAACCCAAGGTGTGGGGCTGGCACAGCACACCGGAGATCAAATCCTGGCCACTGTGCTCTTCCTAAGCAGGCACTTTAATTCTCTGAGCTATCAGGCAGGCCCAAAAATACATATCATTCTTGATATCAGGGGTTATGAAATTTTAGGAGAGGAGCAGTCTCTGAGGTTACCTTGGCATTTTCCAAGCTTCACCACTGAGCACCTCTCTTATTGTCATCCTCATGTGTGTGCGTGCACTGAAAGATGTTGGTATCTGAGGATGTTGTACACATTAAGCAATCACAAATTCATGATATACACAATTATTGTCATCTTTAATTTTAGTAAAAATAAATTTTCTTCACGTTTTAGTCTCATAGATGGTAATGTGGAGCATCTGTAAAACTTCACGGAATATAAGCAATAAGGTTTAAATATCTTCCGTACCCTTTTGCCTGTTACTGTTTATGGGAAACATCTGGAACTAAAGCGCACAACTGCTGGGGGCTTCTCCATGCAAGCAACCACACTGCTGATTTCTTCGGAAAGCATAGCCAATCTGTGCGTAACACATACCCCTTGCATACTCAATATTTTTTATTTTTTAAAGAAGTAGATGGTGTAGAGATATGCTTCTTTTAGTTTTTTTTATACAGTATGTACATGTTTATTTTAAGATTATTGGTAACAATCATCATGTAGGTTTGATCCCACAACTTTGATTCAGACTGAGGGACCTGAACATAAAGGAAAATTTAAAAAATATTTTCCCTTGTAATTATCATAGCCAAGGTCATGAGAAGTCTTCAGGGGTGGGGAAACTACATGAACAAATCCACTTTGTGCTAGGATTCTTTCTGGGTAGATTAGCGGGTAACATTTCACAGTACACTTGTTTCCCAACTCTATGAAATTCATCAGACTGCTCCAGTGAATAAAAGAGGAAGACAGGGAGCTGGTGTGTTCCGTGGGAAACCCCACCTGGTTGAACCTTGTTTGACAATTTTGGCCTCACTGTTTCCTGAATTCCCCTCTTTGGTGTGCACAGAGGTATCTATAAGGAAAAACATTTTTAAAAAAATACTATCTTCTATTATAGCCTTATTAAGCTGTGAATGTACCAAATAATCTTGTCCCAAAGAGAAATGCCAAGCCTAGGAAGGGAGAAACTATCACTTGAGCTCATTCTCAGAAACACAGAAAA